CAGGGGCGGGCAGAGTGCGTAGATGACTAACGATCTAGAAAATACCACGACGCACCCTGTGCTTGCAGCACGGGGACCGGCTCCCTGCCAAGCAGCATTTCGGGTGGGACCTGCCGGGGGAGAAGGAATCATCATGGAAGCCCACGGGGACGGGGACGGGGACGGGGACGGGGACGGCCAGGCAGGCGGAGGGGGCTGGCACACAGGCCCTGAGGCACTTGGCTGGCTCGGGAAAGAGGCAGGAGGCTGGCGGGACAGGAACGCAGGAAGACATACGGCGGACAGGGCAGATCCTGTAAAAGCCTGTGGAATTTGAATGTTATTTCCTAGAAGTAGAAACCACTAGAGGGTACCTGGCAGGAGAGTGACGAGGCACACACACATCGGTTCATCCCTTCTCGGCTGTGGGGACTCCGCTGCACCGAGGGGGAGGGGGCACTCACAGCCTGAAACCCACGACACACTGTCACCCAGCAAGGGCCTGGGGGCGGCAGCGCCCCGCCCCCCCATACCAGAGACCGCTGCTCTGGTGTCATTCATTTCTGTCCCCATGCGCCCGTGCCCTGGTGACGCACGGAGCATCTTCGAGCATGTCTGCGCGGTGTGTGATTTTAACCTAAACACGGAGCCGCGGGCTGAGGCCCTCGCTGCGCCTGGCCTCGGTGTCACTCGGCACCGTGTTTGCACAGGCCTCCGGGCCGCGAAGCGTACATGCAGTCCTCACTCGTGACCGCAGCGCCAGGCCCCAGCCCCCCGCCCCCACCGGCAGGGCCGCGCCGAGCTCGCGCACACACAGCCCCTCGTTGTTCTGCCCAGAGCTGCCCTGGCTGTTTACCCGGGAGGGAAACTGCCGGGCTGCAGGTATTAAATATTTTATTTGAGGAAGAAGTGCTGGAAGGCTCTGCGGGGCGTCTGTGCCTGTCTGACGTTCCCACCTGCAGCTCACGGGGACGCAGGGGACGCCTGGTCCTGCGTTTCTGCCAACACTTGGCATTATCCTTCTTTCTAATTCTTCTCCCGTGAAGAAGACCTCTTGCTTTTGTCCGCATTTTCGATGATGGGCTTCAGGCTCTTTCCAGAAGTTCATCAGCACCCCCTCCCCACCGCCTGCAAACTGCCCATCGCGATGGCTCGTCCACGTTCCTTCCTCCATTTTTCTCGTTGGTTTGCTGGACCTTCCAGGGTGCTTTAGCGATTGCTCCCTCAGCCGTTCTGTTCCGAATATCTTGTCATTTGTCATCTGTAACCTGGGCAGGGTCACATGAGCGAGAGTGAAAATGGCAAGTCACGTCTCAGTGGTGCTGACGAAAATAGTTTTGACCTTTGCCACGACGGATTTATTTAACAGAAATGCTTTATTTGCACGCATGCGAGTTCATAAATTTCAGTCTTGAAGCCTGTGCTTTCCGGGTCCCGCGTGCGGCCCCGAGGCTACCTGGGCCATGAAATTTTTCTTCACGGAGCTCTCCTACTAAACAAACATCAAGGACCTTTTCCTTTTAACTCTTTCATCCGTTCGGAGCCTGCTTTTCCCAGGTCGGGCAGGAATGCACGTTCAGATTTCTCCGCTAGGGACTACTCTTCCCAGGATTCGCCTGTTCCCGCCCCCCCCCCCAAGCCTGCCACCTTCCTCGAGAGGCGAGGCAGCGTCCCCCACGGGTCCTGTGCCTGAGGCTCGGAGCGTGCTCCCCGACCTGCCGGTACAAGGCCCCTCTCTGTTCCCCCTTTGCAACGTGCACTTGGCATTTGCGGGTCTTTTACTTTCACGCACGTTTTAGAAAATGTTCGTCAAGTTCCTCAAAAACTCCAACTAGAAGTTGAAGCAAAGCCATACTAAATTTACAGATTTGGGAGGAAAAAAGTGACCCCTTTCCTAAGGTCAGCCTGTCCCATCCAGGAGAATAGAACCGTCTCTCCTCTGTATCAAAAGCTCTTCCTTTATATTCTCCACCAGCATTTTAAAATTTTCTCCATAAAAGTCTTCTTTGTTCATTCTTAGACCTGATAGAAACGTTGATGCTATTCCAGTTGCTACTTTAACTCTCATTCTGCTTCTCGGTTCCTCACTACAGGCAAAAGTGCTTCAGGGAGTGGGGCGGGGGGGGGGGGGAGATCGAGCTCGCGTCCAAAACCTTTGCTGAAGTCTCTCTGTAATTCTAAAAGTTGACTCTGCTTTTCGTGTAGCTCAGCAGATTTTCCGAGTATGGTCTAAGGACCCCAGAGAGCCCCTGAGGCCCTTTCACACAAGGTCAAAACCATTTTCATCATACTACTCAGATATTATTTGCCTTTTCTGCTCTTGCTCTCGCGAAGTTAAGGAGTATTCCAAAGGCAGCGGGACCCTGTGGGAATATGTGCTTGGGTTTGAACTGTTTCTCGGCTTTAACTTCTAGGAAGGTAACTCTCAACAGATACAGCCCATCTTAGCACAAGTTCTTTGGGGACCTCCCTACTTTTTCAGAGGACGAAGGTCCCGAGGCCGCTCTGTTTGGGAGCCCCGTTATGGGCAGTACATCTCAGGACCAGGCCGTCCCCTGTCTTGTGGGCCTCTCCCTCCACTCCATCCCTGTCCCTGTACCATGGCCGCCTTCCTATGCCTGCTCCTTACCTTAAAGGAACGGATATACTTTGGGTTTCTCTAGTACGTTTGCTGCAAAGTTAAGTCTGGTACAGAAGCTATAACAAGTGAGGGCAGTTCCCCTCCAGTCCTGGCCGACTCTGTGGGACATACCCCCCCCCCAATCATGCATAGGCATTAAACTACATCATATAATTTTTTTGCATCTATGGAGAGAGCCATATGGTCTTCCTCCTCTAGTCTCTTAATGGGGTAAATTACACGGATAGAGTTTCCGATATTGGATCATCTTTGCAGTCCGTGAGGAGTCACGTGAGGAGAAACCTCACTTTTAAGAATCGTTTCCTCCACTGTTGGATTCGCTTAGTTAATGCTGTCCGTGGATTCTCCGTCGATGGGGCTTCAGCGTTCGGGAGAGAACGGGTTCCCGATTTTCTTGTGCCCTCCTTACCCGAATGCAGACATGCTCTGATGCCCGATTTTAAAAGACCCCTCTCGCTGGAGCGTAAATCCTGAAACAGGCCCACTTTTCTCTTTAGCATGTTTGGAAACACGTTAAAATAGAACCATAATCAAGCAACCCAATCCTTACGTTTTTGTCCCAGTGAGGATCTGGAAAACAGGTGCAGAGATAGATCATCTGAGACACCGTAGAAATCTGGTTAATCCTGCCTGCCTGCTTTCCTTCCACAAGTACTGCCTGGGCAAGGCTGTGTATCAGGCTCTGGGCTGGGTGCGGGGCAGGCGGCAGGGAACAGAACGGAAAAGCCCCTCCCGGCACTGCGGGGCCCCGCGCAGGCGCAGCAGAGAGGGAAGGGACTCGTAAATGCACCTAAAATGCAGATATTCTTGTTCTAGCAATGTTTTTGTACTCGGTGATCCCATCTAGGACACAGCTATTGTGTGGCGATGAATTCTTCCCTTTCATAACCACAACAGTCCTGTGGGAAGGCACTCATCCCCATTTTACAGAAAAGGCAATTTGATCTGCCCAGAGATGGGGGTGGGGAGGGAACTGGCCTTCCAGGCTCTCCCCCGCCACTGTCCAGACTGAGACCCTGTGGCTGCAAGCATCAACTCCAATCCCAGACACCACCAAGAAGAGCCCACGGCCCCCCTCCCATCCCCCACCTGGACCAGGACTCCAAGCCCCAACCCCAAGCAGACCTTTCAGAGTCCCCACCCTGACTGGAAGCCTTGACTTCAGTTTCTGAATGATCCCAACTCAGGACCCCTAACCCCAACTTGGACCCCCCCCCCCCACTTGACACACAACCAGACAACCTTCCACGCACAATCTCCAGACGCTGACTCAGAAGTGCCACCCTGGCTCTGGTCCGACTTGGACCCCAACCCCCACCTTGATCCCCTGCGGGGAGCTCTGACTCTAACTTGCACTCTTGCCACCCCACTAGCACCCCCGACCCTTGACTCAGAGCCCCAACATAGACCCTGGATCGCGACTCTGGTCCTCAGCTGTGACCGCTGACCACACGTCAGAGCCCCTGGCTCTCGGTCCCCCACGTAGGCCCAGGGGGGAGGGGCAGATTTCAGACAGACTCGGACCCTGGACTCAACCACCACATGGGCTCTGATCTCCGACTCAGAATTCTCATCTTAACCCCAACAGCCTCTGCCCTGATCCCCAGCTTGGAACCCTCAGCGCCTACCAGAACCCAAGACTCCAACCTGGATCCCCCACGCGGGACCGCTGCGGAGACTCCAGACCCGGCTCCGATCGCTAGACTCAGATCCCCGACGCAGGTCCGCAACGCGGACTCCAAACGCGGCCCCGATCCCTGGACCCGGATCCCCAACGCAGGATCGCGAGGCGGATTCCGGGCGCGGAATCTGACCCGAACTCGGAACCACGACACGGGAACGCGTGGCGGACTCCAAACGCGGCTCCGATCCCCGGACTTGAAACCACGACAGTGGACCGTGAGGCGGATTCCAGACGCCGGCTCTGACCCCGAACTCACAGCACTGGACCGCGAGGCGGACTCCAGACCCCGGCTCCGACCCCGAACTCAGATCCCCGATGCAGGACCGCGGACCCCGGCTCTCATCCCCGGACTTGGAGCCAGAGCACTGAACCGCGAGGCGGACTCCAGACCCCGGCTCCGACTCGGACTCGGAACCATGACGCAGGGCCGCGTGGTGGGTTCCAGACCCCGGCTCCGATCCCCACCTCGGAATCACGAGGGTGGACCGCATGGCCGACTCCAAGCGCGGAATCCGACCGGGACGGATCCATGCAGGACCGCGTGGTGGGCTCCAGACCCTGGCTCCGACCTCCGGGATCGGATCCCCGACGCGGACACCGCCCCCGGGCCAGGACGCCCCTCGCCCCCCGACCCCGGCCGGCGCTCCTGGAGCGCAGAGCAGAGCGCCGACCCCGCCCGCAGGACATGGAGCTCACCTCGGTGCGCCGGCGACCGCCCGTCCTGCGCCGCCAGGTCGGACCGCGCCCGCGGCGCTCGGGGGACTGAGTGCAGGCTGCGGGGCTGCGCGGCCGAGAGGGGCGCCCTGCGCGAGCCGAGCGCCGCCGCAGAGAGCAGGGCGCGGCCGAGCGGGGAGCCCCGCCGTGAGGAGAGCCCCACCAACAGGGCGGCCCCGCCGAGAGCAGCGCGCAGAGTGAGCGGCCGGACGGCAGTCTGCGGAGAGAGGCTTCTGCGGCGCCCGGACCCCCGCTGACGTGGCAGCCTCCCGGCAGTTGATTGGACGAGCGTGAGGGGTGGGTTGCCGCGTGCCGTCGCGCAGATTGGCTGGATGCGGAAAGCAATGTGCCGCGCTCTGCCATTGGCTGAGACGGACCAGGGCCGATGCCACCTGGGCTTGGATTGGTGGGGCCACTACGGTGCCACGTGCCGCGCCCCGCCCCAGCCTGGGTCCGAACGTCCACCCTCCCCCCGCCCCCCCTCCGCGGTCGCCTCCGCGGTCCACGCCCTTCTTGGTGCCCAAAGGAACGCTTGCGGCACTTGGCGCACAAACGGACCGCTGCGGACCCTTGGCCCATGGGTCCACGAAGGCAGGCAGGCGGCCTCCCACCCCCTCTGGGGACCTTGCAGGGCTGGAGACGTCCGTGCCATCAGGGGCTCTGCTCAGCGTGTGCTGGTGTTCACTCTTCAGGAGACCTCCTGATGGGGGTGCCCAGACTCTGCCGGGCGCGCCCCTGAAGGAGGCTCCAAGCCCTAACCAGGTTACTCCAAGGGAGGTAATCCAGGGGCTCCGCTTCCTGCCTGAACCACAACTCTACATGCCACCTCTTCCTTATCGTCCACCTGGGCCTAGATGCTGGGTCCTGTCACTTGGCTACCATCCACCCACCCACCCGCTCATCTGCCTCTCCGACCACCTTTCCATCATCCACCCACCCACCTGCCCATCCACCCACCCAACCATCTAACTATCCATCGACCCACACACCCTCTTGCCCATCCATCCACCCATCCAACCATCCATCCACCCATCCATCCATCTACTCACTCACCCACCCAGCTATCCATCTGTCTACCCACCCACCCATCCAAACATCCACCCACTGCCCATCCACCCACCCAACCATCTAACTATCCATTGACCCACAACCCTCTTGCCCATCCATCCATCCATCCACCCATCCCTATATTCATCTTCCATCCACACACCTGCCCATGCATGCATGCATGCATCCATCCATCCATCCATCCAACCATCTACTTAATCACCCACCCACCCAGCTATCCATCTGTCTACCCACCCACCCATCCAAACATCCACCCACTGCCCATCCAACCATCCATCTATCCATCAGACCAACCAACCATCCATCTCCCCACCCACCCATCCAACCATCTCTACGTCCATCATCCATCCATGCGCCTGCCCATCCAAACATCCATCCAACGATCCACCCAGCTATCCATCCATCTCCCCACCCACCCATCCAGCTTTCCCTACATCCATCACCCACCCACCCACCCACCTACCCACCTGCTCATCCATCCATCCACCCACCCTACACATCTACCGCGTTCCTCCCGGGTTCTGGGCACTACAGTAAACACTGGCAGTCTGTGGCAAACAGCCATCAGGAATATGTCCTCACAGGCTCTCACTCCATAGAGGTCTTAGCAGCAAACCTAAGGCAGGTTAGACCTTCTGTGAAGCCGTCTTTTCTCAGAAGTCGTTAGCCCCACTCCACCCCAACCAGGACTGACTTCCAGAGAGTAAGGGGGAGGCTGGAATGAGCCAAGGAAGCAGCCATCACTGAAAGCAAGCAATGAGACTATTCATCTCAGCTGCTTTTGCCTGAAATATGTGTCTACAGAAAAAGCCAGGAACCTCTCCAAGGGTGACAGAGTCTGTTTTTCCTTTGTGGTTCGGCCTGGAGGAGAAAGGGAAAATGGTGTCGTCTTTTTACACATCAACGCCTTGTTCCCTGACACTCAGAAGCAATGCCCATGCCCGGTTTGGTCATCTTTCTGTCCCCTGACCCGCCCACAGGAAGGCTGTGAAGCAAGCCTAGGTTGGTGCATTTAGTTCAGGGGGGTCAGCCAGCCCTCACCACCTGGGCCGGTGTTTTGGGGGAATCTGCCAATTCCAGTAGCAGGTTGTCACTAGGGCCATCGCACAGGGCCCTGCACTCAGAAGGGCCCCACACATAGGGCTTTAAGGCTCTGGTGTCACCCTCTTGAAATTCTTAATAATCGTATCTTTGAACTTGTGTTTTGTAAGTGAAGGCCAATGGGACAATGGAGTGTGCTCCAGGGGCTTGGAGCCTAGGCTCATGTATCGCCCCCCTGCCTTCCTGCCCAGTCTTCCTCTCCCTACTCCCACCAAGTGGCCACTGTGCCCCCACCCACCCTCCCGCCCTGGCTGAGAGCGGCAGGGAAGGACTGGAGTCTCGGCCCACGCTGTGCAACACTGGGATTCCTGCCTGGCGGCTAGAGGTGACACTGCCAGCCTTATGGAGCTGTTGACGTAAGAGCAGGAGCTGGCATAGCGGTGCCCACTGGGGTGGACGGGGTGGGGGCAGTGTGGCGCCCGGCACCCACCTGCTTCATACTGCCCAGAGCTGGTGGGACCAGCCTCCCGCCTCTGCCTCTCTTGGCCTCCCACACCCTCCCGTAGGAGACAAAGACCCTTCCCAGACACCCTCCAGCCATGTCCATCTCCACCTCCCCAGGGTCCTCAGAGGGACGCCGCAGACTTCCTGCCTACGTGGAGCTTCCATTCCAGTAGGAAAGACAGACAGGAAATTCTCTGTGTCCTCTGGACGCCCTTTGTCAGCGCCTACGGATCCCTCAGTTGTTTCGTTAGGTGCATCTTATTCCTGGTACTTGACGCCTTTAGTCTTTGCTCAGGAATGTGAGCTTTCCCCCACAATTTTTGGTTTGGCTTTTGTCTGTCATCCGAGGATCTTGAGGAAAGCCACCTAAAGCATGTCCGCTGAAAATGGCGGTCCCCCCTTCATAAGAGTGACAGGGTGTCGACTGGGATTTCATCCTGAAAACTGGCACTCAAAATCGTGAACACTTGGGGCGCCTGGGTGGCTCAGTCGGTTAAGCGTCCGACTTCAGCTCACGTCATGATCTCACAGTTCGTGGGTTCGAGCCCCGCGTCGGGCTCTGTGCTGACAGCTCGGGGCCTGGAGCCTGTGTCAGATTCTGTGTCTCCCTCTCTCTCTGCCCCTCCCCTGCTCACGCTGTCTTTCTCTCTCAGAAATAAATAAAACATTTAAAAAAATCGTGAACACTGAGCTGACTTGATGGTAACGGAAGTTGGGTTGTAATGATGCGATTGGACAGGAGCACCTCATGGGTGGTGGGTTTCATGGGCGTGTGTTTCCTCGTGGCAGTGCTCGTGCCCCCGAACCCTCCGACCTCAGACCCTGAGCCCCGACGGCGTGGACTTCCTTCTAACAGACTCGCTGGTGGTGAAACCGCGCAGGCACCGCCCCGTCGTGTGCTCCAGCGGCCGTCTTCTCGGGGCTGTGCTTCGAGCCGGGCCCAGGAGCCCGCCGCTGTCGAGTTGGACGCAGTGGTCAGGAAGGACGGCTCCGAGTCACGTGCGGCCCCGGCCCTCCTCACCCCCGGCTGCACACGGGGTGCCGTCAGTCAGCCCCTGCCGCCTGCCGGCCCCAGCACACCTGTTGTGCGCCCACGCCACCCCCTCCTCGCCACGGGTCCTTGGGGGAGAGAGGAAAACATTCCAAGACTGAGAGGGAATGGGCTCCCCGGAGACGAGAGACACGTGGGAAGGGGCTGGGGAGGCTCGCAGGCTGGGCCGACCGGGCCGCGCGTCTGGGAAGGGGGCCTGCGGCCGGCGTGGGCACATCAGATCGCGGGCAGGCACAACACAGGCCTGGGGGCCCCGCTCCTCGCCACCTTCTCAGGCCCAGGGCCGCAGGGCAGGGCGCCCGGGCACCTGGTGGCCTCCGCCTCAGCTTCCCGTGTGACGGCCGGAGGGCGTCTGCCGTGTCCCATCGGGGCGCGGTGGGGGGCTGCCCGGACGCCCCTCGCACTCCCTCCGGCGCTAACGTTCGGGGTTCACAAGGTTTGCTCGCGGGCTCGTGCACCCCAGTGCCCACACGCACACCCGCACGCACAGCTGAAGAGAATTAGGCTCAAAACGTCCACTCGGCTTTTCTCTTGATTCCGAGGTATTTAGAATGGGGGTGGGGGATTAGGAGAGGAAGTTGCTGAGCTAATTCTCCTGCGTTTGCCAGCACAGAAGTGCAGATGGGGCCCAGAGCCCCGGGTGTCCCCGGGGGAAGCACCAGCCCTCCTCCCACGGGGCGAGGCGGGAGGGGAGGCCTGGGTGGGGGCCCGGGGCTTCTCGGGGGCCAGACGCAGCTCAGCCCCCCGCCACCGCTGTCCTGTCCCCAGAGTCCAAGGGTGGAAGCAGCCTCAGGCTCAGCGGGGTCCCCGGCGAGCTTCCTCCCGCTGAGGCAGAGGCCCAGGGCCACGTGGCCGCCTCGGCGCCATCTTCCCGGGAAGGCCCGGCCCCAGCTGCTCTGGGAAGGGGACGGGAGCTCCGAGGGCACGAGGAGCCCAGGGTGCCCCCCGAGTGGCCAGTGCAGACGCCAGAAGCCTGCTCCTTGGGTCGGCCCGAGTCCCGGACCCCGCGGCCCCTGCTCTGTCCCCCTCCGGAGGACGGGTGCTCGTGCGCACACCCCTGCAGCTGTCTGGGGTGAGGTCGCTGTGACCCCCATGACCCTCCCTCAGGTGGCTTCTTCGTCGATCCAAAGTCTCTCTGACCCTGCTTCCCACATCCTCATTCCAGAGTCTCCCTTCCCCCGCGGCCTCTGGGCACCTCGCGCACCCACCTTCCACCTGCGTCCCCCTCCTCCCTGACGGCTTTGGGGGCGTTGACCTGTGGCTGACCCCCTGCTCTACCCCAGCACCCGTGTCCCAGCCTCTGACCCAGGGCCGCCCTGTGCCCACAGGTGGCACGCCCTCACATCCCCGGCCGCAGCCTCCCCACCCCGTGCTCTACACTCTGGACCTCCATGCCTCCAGGGAGGGTCAGCCGACTCTGGGCCATTCTGGACTTTGCAGGCCGTGGGAGGGATGAAGCGGGGCGGGGGGGGGGTGCGTCTCTGGGAGGTTTGGGGAGGGTGGTGGTGAGGACCAGGTCCCCATTCTAGAAAGACCACTCTGGCCGCTGAATAGAGAATGGGGGTAGGGGAGATGGGGGGTCTCGCCTGGTGGGGAGACGTGCCATCACCCTGTGATGGACGCAGGATGCCTGGGGGAGGGGGAGAGGCAGCAGGCGGGGCTCTCACAGGAGGTGGCTTTGGCGGGACCCTGCGGCCCAGGGCTGTAGGTGGCCCCAAGGGGGCGTGTCAGTGAGCAAGCCAGATTTGGGCGCCTGCCCCTCTGCCCAGCTGTGGGGATGGCACCTCGGTGGAGGGGCATTGTCACTCCACGGGCATGGCCTTTTCCTGTCTTAGCTCCAAGCATGTGACCCGCGTGGATCCTGTTTCCCCTGGGGCGGTCGCATTCCAGGACAGCCTGGGGCCCCCTCCAGTACCCCTCCTCTGAGAGCAACATGGGGGGTTCTGCTGTTTGGGCCCCGGCCCTGCAGCCTCGTGAGCAGATTCTCCCCCCAGCTCTGGGGTCGGCGATCGCCAGGGGCCTGGCGGTCCGAGGAGCAGCAGCGTGGGGTGTGGGCCGCTTCCCGTCAGGAGGGCAGCTGTGCTGTGTGTGTGTGTTTAGGCCTGGCCCAGCCAAGCCTTGATTAGCCAGCCCAGTCCTCCCAGAGCCCCCGCTTCGATGCGGGTTAACATAGCAGCTGTCCCGTGAGCACCTGCTTGGGGCCTGGGTGGGCGCCAGGCATGGGGG